AGTCGCACGAAATTTTCAAGGAGGGATACTTTTCGTCAAATTTCAGGAAGATGATCCGATTTTTACAATGATGCCGCTACATGAATTGATTCAAGATTTGGCACTCATGCGAGCTCTTCAACGAGCTACTGCTGCTGGCTTGCCACCATAGCTGGTTCTAACTCTGGCGCTTTCGTTTTCGAAGCATTAATCTTTCTAGTACGATAAGCTAAATGGAGCAAACTGAAATTTTCACGGAAGGCAGAATTTCTAGGAAAATGGAATACAGGAAGATAAGCCTAGCTTACTTATTTATACACGTCATTAAACACTTTTTCCTTGCAATATATCGTGAGAGGAGAACCGCTTGGCCGTGGAGCACGCGAAGCTTGATGCTTGCAATCTTCATGATCACTAATGACTTACATTTTGCATTTTTCGCCGGTAGAGCTGGTGATGTTTACGATCCCCAAACTTGAATAGGAATCTGTTATCTACGCATAAACCTTTTCCTCACTTTTTGGGTGGATAAAAGGCTATTTTTGCTGATTAGAAAAAAGGTAAATTATTACAGTGAACAAGAAAAAATGTGACTTCTATAAAAATAACCATGACCTTCTGTATTGGCACTTGTCAGTACAAGATCATTTTTCGCCACAAGAATACTGTTGAAGACATTCTACTAATTAGCTAATAGATTGATTTCATTGACAGAATATCTGCCGGTGCAGCAAAAAAAAAAGGCACTCGACTAAGAATTTCAAAGTAGAAAATTTCGTTTCGTAAATAAATCATCCGTTACATACTTTCTTGGCAGGGATGGCACACTCCAGATTTCATGAGCTTTGCATTATGTCAACTCCAAAACGGTTGGTGCAGGGTTTAGTCGACAAACCGGGGAAGAGTGACATGGGTCGGTCTTGAATTAAATATACGAAGTAACCAACAGCAAAATCAGACCTAGTTTTCTTTTCAAGTCCCCTCGAACAGACAAATTTTCGTGAGGCTTTTTGCAGCGAAGAAACCGAAGCTATAAAAAATGCCCCATGAATGCTCATTTTTACATGATTTCTGCACAAGACTTGTGCCGTCTTTTCCTTCTGGAATAGCTCGCCAATAATCAAGCCATTCTCTTTAATATGGTACTGAGATAGGATTTCTCCGGGGTTCAGATTGCATCGAGTTTTTGTTGCTGTTGCAGACTAACGCGACTTCGGGCGCTGTGGAAAAGTTTTCTTCCGTGAGCTGTTTAGTCATGGAGATGTAGCAGGGCCGCGATGAACCGTGAATAAAGAGGGTTGCAGGTGTTTCGGGTTCCGCAGAACGGCGTCGCGATAGCCGTGTTCCGCTACGGCAGTCCAAGAGAACAGCGCAACGACGTGGAGAACGGGTGGGCGATTTGCGGTCGACGGGCGAATAAGCGCAGCGCGTCGCTGATGGAAGCAAAACGAGCGCCATGGATCTGCACTTGCATCATCCTCTTCGCTCGAGCTGGTGAGTTTCAGTGTTTCTTTTTTTTGTCTCTCTCTCTATTTCTTTTACTTTCCTTCCTATTTTATCGCCGGGGATTCACCGAAGGATCAGTGCGCGCAGTCCCATTCCGCGCTTCGTTTGCCCGGCGCACGAGGGAAAAGGATTATTCCGTTCAGGGAATCTCATAACCGAACCGCCGCGATTCCCATTTCATGCGGCTATGAGATCCGCAGGTTCGCAATTTTTCCCCCCAACAGTGGCAGTGATTGACGGCGCCCATCTAGCGTTTCCGCGTGAATTACTTCGGGGTAAACCCTCTCTTGACCGACGCGCGTCTTCGCATTCCTCGTTCAAATTTCACTCGTCACTGACAACTGAGCTTCGACCTTGAATCCTTGGCTAACAAGTGGACGGGAATCCAGCCTACCAACGGGGTCGGGGGAAAGTTTCGGGGAGGAGAGCATTTCGTCGAGGGAGGAATTCCCTCTGAGAAAGTCAATTTGAGGTTGGAAAGCAACTGAAACTCGAAATACTGTATTAAGAATTTTCCAATTAATACCAATCGATTATACGCTCGCAGCACATCGGATAACTAGATACTGAATCCCATAACTGATTTCATGGAATTTGGGTTCTCATAATCATTTTGCTGTTGCATAAACGCAGGGTCACCAAAATTGACTGTACAGTCTTGCAATGACGATACAAAATGTATGTTTTCTTGCTGTATAAAGTGCCTTGAATTGAACAATCCATTGCCTTGATCCTGAAGGAATCAACAAGGGCAACTAAAGTTTCTTTTCAAATGATTCAATTTTTGTTGCTGACATCTCATCAGATATTTTCTACGTCGAAATTTTCTCCATACTTGTTTTTTTAATGAAGTTTTATATTATCTTAACTTCACTCTAATTTTTTTAGAATTCCATGAAAATCTAAGGTCGACGTGGAAGGTTTTATTAGTTCAAAATGACGCATTCCTTTCACGTCAGACAATTTTTCATACTGTTGTTTTATGAACTACTGCGTCACAGCAGCGATGGGTACATTTTTTATTTGTATCTAGGGCGAAAACTCGCGTGCTCTCGAGTACTTTTTTACAGAAGAGAATAGTGGCCGAATGAGCTGCGTTCGTGGATCATATTCATTCTCGAATGACACATCTTCTCGCCCCACGTGTCTGTTGGACTGCGGTATACAGTAGTACAATATCTTACTACCACGCGTCACGATACTGTGTCCTCGACGTTTTGTAACCGGAACGTGTTTTCGCCAGTTCGACTGAATGTATCACGTCCGTGTTTGTTGAGCTGTGATTAATTTGAATACAGCTGCTCCGTAAGGCCTTTCTCTGGCTGAAGACAGATCAAACCCCAGTGTTTGTCATGTCTTGTATGAAATACCGCCGTCCTATTGAAGCGTGTATACCACGTTACATCTGGTAGTATGCAAGCTTTTTTTTTTCAACTGAAAAGAGTCGCCGAAAAAAATTTGCAAAGCTTTTTACCCAAAAATCTCGCATTTCTCTGCGACGTGCAACTGACCTTTGAATTGGAACTTATCATTAAAAGGTTGTCGTGGTAAACATGCGGGTAGTTAATTTGATCATTAATCCTTTCAAACGTTAATTGAGAATTTTCCCATTAATCCTCAAGATAGTAGCGAACCCATCAAAAACTGACCACCCTTTGTCTTGCAAACTTTCTCCGCCGAAAACATAACCTATTTCAAGAAAAACCTCCAACACATATTTAGGCATTCTTCAAACATCATGTTACTGTATCTAAAAATGCACATGAATATCGAAAGTTACAAATAAGCTTAACCAGCATGATGGTGCTGTAAAACCGTTGTGTAACGATTTGGCGCTCTTTCAGGTCTTATTTTTGCTGAAGAAATGAAATACTCCTGAAAGTATTGTCCCTGAATAAATCTACTCATTTTGCACAAGTATTGGTTTTATACCTGGATATACCTACCAATTAGCTGGTAGTGTTGTATACGGTTACGAGACAACTCACACAGACAACTCAAACAGCGACAACTCACAGTTTTTTTTACTAATTTTTCTTTTTTAAATTTAGGTTCTGGCAAAAATGAATACCTTTCTCGTGTCTAGATTCTCTTTATCCTGAATTGCAGTAATTGTATGCATTTATAATAAACTTCTTATAGTTTTTTTCATACTTGTGTTTTCAACCTAGTCAAGGATAATTTTGTCCTAAATTAATTGTGTACATTTATCATGTTCTATATTTTCAATACTTCTGCTTTCAATCTAGTCGAGGATAATTCTGATGCATGCATTAATCCATGTTCATCCTAGAAATTGAGCCCCAGTCATTTTTATGGCTTACAGCAATCCCCCCTCCCCCCAGTTATTGATGTAAATATTGCTTGATTGGACATTGGATTTCCAATGGGTTTAGAGAGGTTCTTTAAAAATGATTGTGAAATGAAATTGAAAAATTCCTGTTAAAATTGAGAAAATTGCTGTGAGCCATGAAAATGACTTGGGCTCAATTCCTATAAGGAAGAACATGGATTAATGCATGCATCAGAATTATCCTTGACTAGATTGAAAACACAGGTATAAAAAATAAAAAAATTTATTATTATAAATGTATACAATTAATTTAGGATAAAAGATAATCTAAACACGAGAAAGGTATACATTTTTGCCAGAACCTAAATTTAAAAAAGAAAATTTAGTAAAAAAAATTTTTGTGAGTTGTCCCACTGTGTGAGTTGTTGCTGTGCGAGTTGTCGTGTAATCAGTGTAAGTGTATACTGGTATTTATTCCAAGAGGTCGAATTTTTCCCTTCGTCACTTCGACTGAATGAAAGGACAAAAAAGGATAATGTGATTTTTATTGTCTTCAGAGTAACTCGGTACCTCCATATTTTTTGACAATTTAATATTGATGAGTGTCGGTGCCTTTTCATCCCAAGAAACAGGAAATGCGTCACATTTCGAAACCATTGTCACTTAAGACACAGATTCAAAGATCAATTTCAGATTTGGAGTGTTGATGGTGTATAATTTCATCCCTGAGAGTCCTCAATCGGTGGGTTCATCGAGGACGCGAATTCATACTTGATGCTCTGTTGTGCTCTTCGAAGCCGATAACGGTTTGTTCGCGGCTTAGCGGAGGAGAGGACCGGAAGCCGTACGAAATCGATTAAGCTTCCGGACGAGTGGCAACCCTTCCGTCATAAATCCGACACAATCCGAACTCCCAAGCCCAAACCGTAAAACTCCCACACATTCGCTGCTTTCACCCGAAACCCATAAGAAGCACTTGGCGTTTAATTGATCGTCAAAATTGGGCGGCGGGAATGAAATTCGCGACTTGATGTTGGAGTGAACTCACAACTAAGCCGGGAGACGTTTATTCCGCTGGGACAGAGGTGTTGAATCTTCTTTAGCTGCGCAGACCTCGCTTGTACCCATTTTCTCCAGAACAGTCCTACAGGAGAATTTATTGTTCCGGTCCTTGCCTTAATTTTCAGACACTGCACATTGATTAAAATATGAGCCGCAAAAAAGTAAAAAAGAAATTCTGCATCTTATCTTTGCTAATCAATTTAGGGATTGCTTTTGACTCCCAACAACTTTACAAATTTTCACTTCGCTTAAATTCCTCTTGTCCTCCACTTCTAGTTCAGAATCTTCAGATTCACAAAATTTATAATCGTACTACAGTATTATTTTGAATGTGCGTGCAAACCAAACGACAAAGTATTCACAATATCAATCAAGTTCGATGAAACTACGCCTTAGGTGTGCAGTTGAAATTATTTTCCTTTGGGGCCAAAGCGAATGGAGGTTCATATTGATGGCGTCTTGCTTTCAAGTACTGTATTTGGGATACTGTAGTAGGACGGAAGTCCCCTGATATTTGTTCTACCGTAAGAATTAATCATCCTATTCTACTTCATTACTTTTTTGGGGAGGCCCCGGAGCCCCCGGGAAACGTAAAAGAAACCCCAAGTGCTCCGCGGAGCACCGCTTGAGAGCCTCTACGCTAGGGGAATCGCGTAAGACTCACCTCATTTATATTCTGACCATAAAACCCGCTGAAACCTTGTCAGAAAGTTTTCGGTTCAGCGACACTGACGACAGTGGGCGGATTAGGCAGTGAGATATGGGCCGAAAACTTGCGCTTTTGGTCTCGGAGGACTAAAACTTCGACGCTAATCAGCACGAGGGTAAATTGGTCTCGCGCGGAGGGGATCGTTTCAGTAAATTTAACCCCGGGGAAACACGGATGGGCGCATTTTGCGAAAACCTGGCCTGGAATCCGACTTGAGCAGCCAGGCAGAACCCGTCAAAGCAACGCGTGGGTCTCTCGCGTGCTATTCGAAGCATTCGCGTTGCTTCGAATCTGTCTAAAAAGTAAATCAGGAGAGATAGCCGGGGACGAGCGACTCGTTAGCTGAAGCATCGTCTTGAGCCGTGCAAGGGTCGTCGTGTACTCCAACAGCAGCTGCTTCCAGCTGCTGACAATTTCTCCTGTGCGTATTATTAGCGCGTGTTGCTTGCTGCCTGGAGCGCGGGGAAGATTTCCCGGCGGCACTGAAGACAAACTTGAGAGCCGATCCGAGGGAATCATGTGCGTGCACCGTTAGTGATTCCTCGGGCTGGATCCGCCCGGGAGTTTCAGCGACTTTCACATGTGGGGACCAAATGTGCAAAAAACTGCTGACAATCGTGGCAGATGCGGCGTCGGAAAGCGCGGGGGAGAGATGGATAGCACTGTGCTCGTCACTTTTTTTCTTTCTAACTTGTATTTATTCCGATGTACTCTAGAATTTTTTTTTGCTATACCCTGTTTTCCCCCAAGCATTCGAGTCTAATCCGCTTACATTCCTTGCGTCGTTTTCGGCGGGGAATTACAATAGATGCCGTACAGCTGACATCAAAGGACCTACATTCCCGTGACTTCTGCCAGATTTACCTTATTCACTTTCATCGAGAGTACAGTTTCTCTCCCTGGGCAACGAAGATCCCAACACGGATCCTGTGAATTGTTTTCAGTTGAATTTACAGAAGTACTGCACAGTATTTTTAACCTGTTACCTGTCATGCCCCAAGGGCCTAGGATTTACCCTTCCCTGAGCCTACGCGACTCATCAAATTAGTTGAAGCAAGAGACGATGAAGAAATTTAGAGAAGGAAATCAACGCTCGCTGAGGATAGGCGAAGATTACCAGGTTGTTTGGAAAATAGGACCCATGTTGCGTTAAAAGTGTATCAAAAAATATGCTGGACACAGTCCGAGGTTAGGTTCTTTATTCAGCCAAAAAATATTCTGTGCAGAATATTTTTAGGTAGTATTTCGTGGGATCTTGGATGCTTATGATTGACCAGAGATTTTCAGAGAGAGGAAGTTGGAGAGGATAGAAAGTAACTTTATTTCGCATCTAAGTTGAGGAAGGCATACTTCTCAATAAAAAATCCAGAGAAGTAATCCTGGGCTTATTCTGGATTCGGGCTTACATTTTGGGTGGTGTCTGAAGATGGCGCTGGGGCTTAAAAACTGTCCTATGTACTAGTAAACCAGGTCGTAATTCTAGGGGAACACTGTGCAGGAATATATCAGTTACTCATGGTGAAGAAAATAAAAATGTCGGTTTTATTTTTGGACCTTCCAAAAGCATGATCGACGATAAGTTGGTATTTATTAATGTGCTTCAACGCATAAATTTATTTCAAAGAAGGCTATGATATAGAAATGAATAATAAGAAGGATCAATGAATCGAAAAAAATTGGCAAACCCTGTTCCACGTATTCACAGAAAAATAATTCACAATCCGTGCGTTGGAGCTTTAGAAATTCGAATGTTTAGAATGCCCGAAAGGCATGCAACTCGCACTATACAAATCATAGTTGCGGGGGTGGAGAATTCTAGAGTACACCGTAATCACATGAACCGACTCGTACGTGCACGGAAATGTGAACCCTGAACCACGTCTTAAATTATGAAGCGCGCTTGGAAGTTGTCGAGGAGTTTCTATAGAGAACTTGATCCCATTGTAACCGGATGAGGGCGAGGTTACGCGAAAAGCGGCTCAGTCTAACTTCTGGAGACCTTATTCAGAATCTGACCGTCTTAGGAATGTTGAATAAATAGGGGGGAGGGGGGTCAAGGAGGTAGCAAGCTCGTTCTGAGAGAATAAATACTAATTCGAGGTCAGTTCCTCCGGCGTTCGCACTCTGGGACTCTTAGTGAGCATTTCTAGGATGCCGCGGACTTGCTAAAATATCGATGAGCGTTTCGCGGCAGCCAACAGTGCGTCAAGACGCCCAGCAGCAGCCTCATCGACCGAATTTATAGTGGTTTAAATCAGGTCCCGTGGCGCTTAACGCACGCGAGCCCGTACTCTGGGGTTAATTTTCCTCCTCATGCTTTTCCGCAATTCAGCTGCTCGTCTTCGTCGCGTCGGGCATACAAATCATGAACTTTCGCGTCGGCGGAAGGACAAAAGACCCCCGCGAGACCGTCGCTCCCCGGGGACTATTCGTGTAGAAATTCATATTCTAATTTCCCTCCGATGTTATTCCCCGGGTGCGATCAACAACTGAAATTACCAATCTAAAGTTCTCGCTGGATATCCGTAAATCTCAGGAGATCAGCCTTCCTTTGAGGATCGGAATTACTGGAGAAACAAAATCCGGTACTGTTGTATTACGTGACTCACCAAAGTAACTTTCTTACGCATCAAGTGTCCGAGGAGAGAAGCTGCGAACAAGTTTACTGCACAACATCTAAAAAAAATTGGCAGGCTAACGTAGTGAAGATTCAAAGTTTATAAAAATATTTCGTCAAGTTCGTTCGAGATTTTTTTTTTTTTAAAACTGGGTTCTACCCCAATATGAAACTCTACGTAATCCCCAACTGTTCCAGCACGACAACATGAAATGAAATTTTCCAACATGCATTGCTAAACATGTACATTTGACTATGTGTAACCGATTACCGAAATAGCTGAACCCAAAGGCTTCCGTCTCTTATGTACTCAGAGATCAATCCAACTGTAAGTTCACGGAAAGCAGGAGGAACAATATCACTAACACCACTCGGAAGTAGAGCACTCGCAGAGTACGGAAGTGTCGCTGGATGCATTACTTCGTTCAAGTTGTGCTCAAATATGTCTGTCAGTCTGTGAATAAACACATTTCACTGTAACTACTTCAGTGTATAATTATTTCAAGAGCAAGGAATACGACCAGCGATAGTGTCTAAAATCACATACTGAAGCATTGTTCATCTGTGGTGGTCGGTCACGTAATGCAACAGTAACCAAGATCATTCTCGAACTGTGGTGGAAAGATACTCGCTACCATCGGTCAAGAGGTCTAAGAAGAATGTCTGGGAGAACAAGGAGGCGGAAAAAATTCCAGTCCCTGAAACTTCGCCGAGTTTACGGCTCGGTTGTTGCCCATTATGAGCACGTCTTTCGTACCCCATCAGCCCTCGGCAGTACTACGAAGATTCCTCACAACACGCTTGTCGAAGAATGTATGGAACGACAATGCTCTTTTCCAGAATAACTATGCTTTTCTGGCAAACTTTTTTCTTCGACAAATCACGTCAAACAGAATTCCGTTTGTACCGTCGCGCGGCCAAAATTGCCGTCTGAATTTCGTGTTCAGGACACCATAGGGGTCTGGGGGTACATATAAAAATACCATACTTAATGTAATTTTCAGTGCGAGCTTGTTCTGTGCAATTGAGGATTATTTTTCGCAAATGCTTTACGGATGACAAAGTCCTCGACATGATCTCCCTCAGAACATGCAGGGTCAAGCAGCAACAGATATTGCAAATGGCTTTTGGAATTCTGGAACGTTTTCCTTTTGTAAAAATTAACCGATTCACGAAGTACCACATTTTTCTGAAAAAAGTTTGATTCTAGAATATAAAATCCATTAAACCCCACGAAGGCATACTTTTAGGTTACAGTCTTCGTTGGAGAGACTGGAAACATTGGTTCAATCTTAAAATTACAAAATAAGTGCTGTATACGGTACTGAAATGCAATAAACCCCGGCATGAGTTGTGCAGTATCTTCAATTCCTCATGGAACGGATAAAAGCAATCGTTCCACGCAAAATCTAAAATTTCTCTAATCGAAACTGCAATACAATAAATTTTCAGTTTTATTACTGTACTGTACAGTACTGTATATTGAATACGATTTATGTTAATGTAAAGCTCACACAAATTATGCAAGATACCACAAATATTATGATTTACTCGAAAAAATAGTTTTGTTGAAGGAACTTCGGTAGGCTTGCAAATAATCCAGTACCGTTTATTCAACACCTCTTCAATATTTTGTACACTATTCTAGTTCATTTCCGAATGCAGGTAAACTGTACACCTCTACTAGGTTTCCCAACAATACAGTACTGTATTTATTCACGAAACAATATTCCCTCGTTCCTAAAGACCTTTTTGAAATAGACCAACGGTTCATTAGCTTATTTTCAAACGAAATTTCTGGGATAACGAATTATTTCTGGTCCTTCATTCGGGAGAGAGTCCACGAGCCTTTTTGCGCACCGTCAAGATGAGCTTAATCAAAATAAAGTAAAATATCCCTATTTTGCCCATGTAATTTTACCACTTATGGAATAAAGTTTCTCGATTCAGGATGCAATTAAAGTAGTAAAAGACTGTCCGCGTCTTTCACGGGGTAATCGCTGAGTTTTTCTTCGGAATTGTTGCGTGGAGAAAAATGCACTCATTGTATATATAGGTTGAAAACTGCGGAGCCTCGAGTCATTTTCAGAGCTGCCCACAGAATGCAATACCTGACGTCGCTTTGAATGAAACTCGGTCATGAAGCTCGACTATTCCTGAAGTAGCAGCTCGGTGAAGGAAATGAAACCTGGGAAGAAATCTCGGGTCCCTGAAAGGTCCATGACAGCGAAGGTGGATGTGGCGAGACTCGGGACGTTTTATCAAGCATCCGCCACGACCCGCCTTTTTCCTCGCCGCAAGTGATGTCACGGTTGCATTGTAGCACGCGGAAAATTGAACGCACCGCTGGGTCTCGCGAAAAGGCGCCCACTATGCCAGGGGTGGTGGGAAAAACGGAAATTCTCCCGCCCGCAACGCTTCATCGCTTCGT